CATCATCATCACCATCACCATCACCACTGCCACCACCATCAGCATCAGCATCTTCACCGTCACCACCATCATCATCATCGTCACCACCACCATCATCATCATCATCATCATCATTGTCATCATCATCATCATCATCATCATCATCATCATCATCATCATCATCATCATCATCATCATCTATATTGTCATCATCACCACCACCATCACCACCATCATCATCAGCATCACCATCATTATCGTATGCATCTGCGTAAGCACCATCATCATCGCCATCAGCATCACCATCAGCATGATATAGCAGAACGTGGCACTAGGTCTGAGTGGTGGATGCATATAGGCGATGAGCCAGTCTGAGTTAGAAAGAGCAAGTCAGAGCAGGAGTGAGTCTGAGTGATGTGCGAGTCTGAGCGAGTGAGGTGTGGGTGTGACTGCCCTTCCGGCGCGGTGAAAGCAATAACAATTACTCACTGCGTGGAGCTCCCCAAATGTGCATCTCATGTTTTATGTCATGCCATAGTGAGCGTCTGTTCATGTGCGCTTGACTATAATAGCGCGTCCACGTGGGCGAGAGGGCCGACGAAAACGACTGAATCCTAGTGCGAGTGAGTGAGTATGAGTCAGAGTGAGCTTTGACTCAAAATCTGATCTGAAAGCCAAGGATGTTGGGCATGAAAACGAGCAAACCGCTTGAAACATCCCCACAAACTGGCCGCGAACGGGCCTGTGCAAACACCCCTGGCGGCTCCCCTGAAGGGTGCTGAAACCAGCGGCCCGCCTGCGACATCCTCAAAATCTGCTCTGAAAACAGAGGACGTTGGGCATGAAAACGAGCAAACCGCCGAAGACATCCCCACAAACTGGCCGCGAACGGGCCCGTGCAACCACCCCTGGCGGCTCCCCTTAGGGATGCTGAAACCAGTGCTCCGCCTGAGACATCCTCAAAATCTGCCCTGAAAGCCAAGGATGAACGAGCAAACCGCCTGAGACATCCCCACAAACTGGCCGCGAACCGGCCCGTGCAACCACCCCTGGCTGAAACCAGCGCCCCGCCTGAGACCTCCTCAAAATCTGTTCTGAAAGCAAAGGACGTTGGGCGTGAAAACGAACCGACCGCCCGAGACATCCCCACAAACTGGCCGCGAACGGGCCCGTGCAACCACACATGGCGGCTCCCCTTAGGGGTGCTGAAACAAGCGCCCCGCCTGCGACATCCTCAAAATCTGCTCTGAAAGCAGAAGACGTTGGGCATGAAAACGAGCAAACCGCCCGAGACATCCCCACAAACTGGCCGCGAACGGGCCCGTACAACCACCCCTGGCGGCTCCCCTTAGGGGTGCTGAAACCACCGCCCCGCCTGCGACATCCTCAAAATCTGCTCTGAAAGCCAAGGGTGGCGGGCATGACAACGAGCCAACCGCCTGAGACATCCCCACAAACTGACCGCGAACGGGCCCGTGCAACCACCCCTGGCGGCCCCCCTTAGGGGTGCTGAAACCAGCGCCCCACCTGAGACCCGCCTGAATATGAGTAAGTCTTTGTATGAATAAGTTTGTGTATGTGTACGTCTGGGTATGAGTAAGTCTGAATATGAGTAGGTCTCAGTATGAGTAAGTCTGTATGTGAGTAAGTCTAGGCATGAGTAAGTCTCGTGTGAGGAGACGAGACGAGGAGGGGACGAGAAGAGGAAGGAGTTGTGCTGGTGGGGCCAAAGGGGTGCAGTCAAGACTAGCAGCCAGCGGCCTCGCGCTTAGGGCGCGAACAGGTGGCTGACGGGCACGTCCCAGGGGGGGAAAAGAGGAGGAAGAGGGAAGACGAGTGCCTCCGTCAGGAAAAACACAAAACTAAAACGGGAGCGGACCCAGGACCGACCGCGCCTCCAGCCTCATCCTCATCCTCGGAACCAGGAAGGACCTCCAGGCCCTTAAATTTGTGGTCGAGGGCGAATGGGCCAAAGGGGGTGGGGCGGGGTCCGACCCCCGAGACCCGAAGCTCGATCCCACTGCGGGGGTGGCAGCCGCGCCACAGCTTACGCAGGCGGTCCCACGCCACGGACCCACGCGGGCAGCTTCCACGGCAACTTTGACCGAGCTTCTGGGTGTTGTGTTCACTGTAGGCGCCACAAACACTACAGAACACGGAAGGGCCCACCGTCCAAACGCGGCGGCCCACACCTGGCTTGCAGGGGGGGGGGCTTTCAAAATATGGACCGTGCCTCCCGAACGCAAGCACTTGATGCACCTGAAGCCACCCTTGGGAAACCAGACAGGGTCGTGGGAGCCCTCGGGAGGCACAGCATCGCCCGAGAGCCGAGGGACGATTCGCCGCCCCCTCTTGAGCCCCACCTCACGGCGGGAGGCGGCCGCCAGGCCTGGCTCCGCTCCACGGATGGTCCTGGCCAGGTACTTTCCAACATACTGGACCAACCTAAAAAAACGGATCACGCGATCCTCGGCAACCTGATCAGAGGGGTGGGGGCCGACGCCAGCGCGCGCCGCCTCACCAGCAGCCTTGTTGCCGAGCCGCCGCCATCTCGCTCCCTCGCCAAAGTCATCGTCGCGCCCTCGCGCGTGACCCTTGACCTTGGCCACCGCGACCCCACCCCCCAGGTCGCACACGCGGTCCCAAACCCCCTCCCATGAGTCGGCACAGGCATGCGTGGCGCCTGTAGTCTCGCAGCGACCCTTGCGGAAGCTCGAGACCACCCAATCACAATCAGAGAGGTACTCGCAAGGGCCGAGACCGACATTATCAAAATACATCTTGAAAGCGAACAATTCGGCCACCTCTGGGCTCCGGTTTAAACCTGGGCGGGGGGGGGGGGGCACGCAGCGAGGCCAGAACGTCCAAACCACTCGAATTCACCTGGGCCACCCCCCATCCAGCCCTGCGCTGCCTGGGGCCCGTGGCCACAAGAGAACTACACGAGCCATCGCCGAAGCATGGGCCTTCAAAGGCCCCCGTGGGGGGACGCACGCGCCAGTAAACGAGCAGATCCATCGTGGGAGGAGGGAGCCACGGTCGAGGGTCGGCCACGAGGCCGTGGCACCACAAAAGCCAATCGGGATGGTTCAAAGCTCCCTCTCGGAGGGAAGGTGGCACTAGGCAATCGCGTCGGAAAGTCCAAGTGCTCGCGCAGTCCCCCCAACACCAGTGGCCCACCGTCCCAGGCGCCTCCCCGCAGAGCGAGCACATTGGGCTATCCCTTAGACCAGCACTGTGCAGCCGCTCATCCCCCCCAAAACCCATTGGCAGCCAGACGCCGAACCGTTGCCTTATGCATGCCAGTCCAGTCGTCATCAGTGCGTCTGGACGCGAGAGCTTTGAGAGGGGCGAGGTATGGGGCCGTGGGAGAGGGACTGGAGGTAGTCTTCTTCACAGCGGGCCTTGTCGAGGAGCCATGCCTCGACCCCCCACTGGGCAACCATCCTCGCGGCGCGGGGGCATTCACGACACAGATCGAGCACTGCGCCATCAGCCGTACAGAGCTTGCCCACGCCAGTGCCAAGAGTCCACCCAATCCTGAAACAAGAGGCCAGCGCAGCCGAGACGGGGCCCACGACCTTACTGCACGGCGCGCGGGTCTCACGAAGGGCCATATCCGCGTTGAAGAGAATGCGGCAGAGGATCTCCCGAGGCATCCAAGAGTCCCAGAAGGCCTGTGCAAGCATCATGATGGGGTTCACCGTGCAGGGGTAGGCGGGGTCGACAGCCGTGGTATCTCCAGGAACCAACGCCAGATCGATGGCGAGGGATCTGCGGGCCGTGTGGGGGACCAGGGCAGCCCGTGCAGCCCTCCTGAGGGCCATCACACCGCTCCAGGACCTTCCAGTGACCCCATCGCCCCAAGTTCCAGCAGGGACGAGGCCCATGCTGACAAGCTGCTTGCATTTACCCCTGGCCCTGCGGAGTGCCCTGATTTTGATACTGCGCCGTGCCACCTTGCCCAGGCGCCCCAGCCGCGTCTGCATGCCGTGCCGCTTGCCGCAACTGTAGTCGCAGCCCAGGTTGCGCGTCGACAGGTCTCTGGCCTGTACTAGCGAGGGGCAGCGCTTGCCGAGGTCCACGCTGGCCTGGAAATCGTTGCCGGCGAGCTTGCCCTTCTCGTTCAGCAGCGGCTCGGCGTCTTGCAGGGCACTCCTTGCTTGGCGATATGCCTTGCTGAGCTGCTGCACGGCAGTGGCCCTCGCGCCTGTGGCCTGCATCTGGATGTCGTCGACCACGTTGCCGACTGAAATCCCAGGTAGCATCGCCAGGTCGTCCAACATGGGAATGAGAAGTGTGCGCATCATCAAACCTGCGAAGGGGCATCCAGCCACCACGCCGCGCATGGGCGTCATCAGGTCAAGCACCATGCCTTCACATGGGAGGAGCCTGGGCATGGCGTACAGCTTGATCAGCAGCCGTAGCAAACACATGTTAAACACAAGTTCGCTGGCTCGAGCAGTCAGACGATGCCAGCTGATATACTCGTATGCTTTGGACAGGTCCAGCAGAATGGACAAGCAGGTCTTACCACAATACGTGGCCCACTCGCCCGCAGCAGCCTGCCGCCATACGCATGCTTCACAGCTCTGGCCCTCAGTGCCGAAGATGTAGCTGCGCTTGTTCTTGTCCGACCACTGCGCGCCTACCGTGGCCCGCAGGAACCGTGTCAGCGGCCTCCCCGTGCCGGGGAAGATGCCGAT